TAGCATTTCTTTTTGAAAATTGATCTCTCTGATTTGATGCCGCTGTCTGAAACTTTCATATTATCAAAAATTATTTTATCTTTTTTTGAAAAAACCATTAGCCATCTTGTGTAGGAAATAAAAACAATTTGATCTCTCTATAAGCTGAATTGGAATATCTTCGATTTGTTTAAAAAATTTAAAAAATTCGGTATCTATTTTTTTAATTAAAACGTCTTCATTATCAATAATATTACTAATGTTACTTTCTTTTGAATTTGAGTCCAATTCTCTAAAATATCTGATAAAACCTTCATAGCTTTCAGGGTAATGGGTTTCATTTTTATTGTTATTATTATTATTATTATTATTATTATTATTATTATTATTATTATTATTATTATTGTTATTATTATTGTTATCTATACTGCTACCTATATTATTATCTGCATTATTATTAAATTTATTTAATTGCTCTTTTAGTTTATTAATTTCAGAAATTAGATTTTCGTTTCTTTGGATCAATAAATTATTTTGAAAATTTAAAAAAAATTGAAATTCTTTATCTTGTTTTTTTTGTTTTTTATTACCACAATAGCTATTGTTTGTTTCATTATCTGAATTATCTGTATTCATAATATTTGGTGAAGAATTTAAATCATTTATATTTCTATTAATATTAATATTATTATTATTATTATTATTATTATTATTATTATTATTATTATTACAATTATCTGGATTTGTTTCTTTTATGATACTAGTATTGTCATGATTGGGGTTATTATTTGATAAATCTCTTTTAAAAAATTAAAGTCTAAAGTTAACACTCCATTATTAAAATTAATCTGGGAATCTATTAACCCATCTGTTGGTTGGGTCATTTATTATTTTTGGAATAAATTAATATTTGTGTTGTTTATGAATTAAAAATAACTAATATTAGAAAAAAAAAAGAAAATAAAATAAAAAAAAAAAAAATAAAAAAAAAATAATAAAAATTTAATTTTAAAAATTTTTTTTTTTATAAAATTTCTTGTGTTTTATAAAAGAATAAAAATCATTTTTTTTTTTAATAATAAAGGAAAAAAAAAAAAAAACTTATCCTTTAGAGAATAAAATTTACATATTGGGTAAGGTAAAGATTTAATATTACTTAACTTTATTTAATTAAGATTGTCTATTAACAAATAAAAACATTGTTGTCTAAAAATAAATATATAAATAAATAATTGTATTTTATTTAATTTCCTCTTTTTTTATTTAATATTTTTATTTTTTTTAATATTTATTTTATATTTTTTTATATTTTTTTTATATTTTTTTATATTTTTTTTTTTTTTTTTAATTTTTTTATTTTTTAAAATTTTTTTTTTTAAATTTCATTTCATTAATAGTTTTATCGTCTTATATTTACAGGTTATTTAAAATATAAGAAATAAATTAATAATAATAATGGAGCATTTAAAAAATTTTATTGGTGGGGAATTTTTAGAACCAATCGATAAAAATTATATACCAAATTATAATCCATCCATTGGCGAAATATATAGCTATGTTCCAGATTCAAATGATAAAGATATAGAGGCTGCTGTTAAAGCTGCTAAAGACGCTTTCCCAATGTGGAGTTCAAAATCAGCACAGGAGAGATCAAATATTATTTATAAAGTAAATATTTGTTATATTTGATTGTTTTATTAGGATTCAGTATCGTTTAGAAATGTAGTAATAACATTTATTTAATCATTTGTTTTAGGTTGCAGACGAATTAGAAAAAAGACTTACAGAATTTTCAAAAGCAGAAAGTAAAGATCAAGGTAAGGGTGTTGCATTATCAAGTACATTGGATATTCCAAGATCTATTGCAAATCTTAGATTTTTTGCAGGTGCAATTCTTCACCACAAGGATGAAGCTTATCATGGTGTTCCAACACCAAATTTTATAAATTATACAATTAAAGTACCAGTAGGTGTTGTTGGTTTAATTTCTCCATGGAATTTACCATTATATTTAATGACTTGGAAACTTGCACCAGCTATTGCTGTTGGTAACACTGTTGTTGTTAAACCATCTGAAATGACTTCGATGACCTCTTATCTTTTTGCCCAAGTTTGTAAAGATGCTGGTTTACCAGATGGTGTTGTTAATTTTGTTTTTGGTACTGGCCCAAATGCTGGTTCTCCATTAGTTAGACATCCATCTGTACCATTAATTTCATTTACTGGTGGAACAAAAACCGGTGAAATTGTTCAACAAGTAAGTTATATATATATAATAATAATGATTGTCTAAATGACAATAATATTAATTTTATTTTATTTTAGCAAGCAGCACCATTTAATAAAAAATTATCATTAGAATTAGGTGGTAAAAATCCAGCATTAATTTTCGAGGATTGCAAATTTGAAGAATGTATTGAACAAACCGTTAGATCATCATTTTATAATCAAGGAGAGGTTTGTCTTTGTACATCAAGAATTTTTGTTCAAGATAAAATTTATGATAAATTTATTAAAGCATTTGTTGAAAAGACAAAGGCTATCATTATCGGTGATCCACAACTCCAAACTACTCAAATGGGAGCATTAATTAGTGCAGATCATCTTAAAAAGATTGAATATTATGTAGATTTAGCAAAACAAGAGGGAGGTGAAATTTTAGCAGGTGGTAAAAGAGCTCAAGTCGGTGAAGAAGGATCACCTCTCAGAAATGGTTATTTCTATGAGCCAACCATTATTGGAGGTCTTACACCAACCAGTCGTGTTATGCAAGAAGAAATTTTTGGACCTGTAATCACTATTTGTCCATTCTCAACCGAACAAGAGGTCCTCGGATATGCAAATAATGTCGAATATGGTTTAGCATCAACTGTTTGGAGTCAAGATATTGACCGTTGTAATAGAGTCGCTAAATCAATTGAAAGCGGTATCACTTGGATAAATTGTTGGATGATTAGAGATTTACGTACTCCATTTGGTGGTTATAAGAAATCTGGTATTGGTCGTGAAGGTGGTGATTATAGTATCGATTTCTATACCGAACAAAAAAATATCTGCATGAAAATTAATTAGATTTAAATAAAAATAGATAACCAAATCAATATTTTCTTGTGAATTATTTTTTTTTATTTTAATTTAATTTCAAAAAAATTCAATTTTTTTGTTATTAATTTTTAAAAATTTTTGTTTTTTTTTTATAAATTAAATTTTACACTCTTTTTTACAATTTTTATAATACCTTCTCACAAATATTATATTTAATAATGGATATATTAAATATAAAAAAAAAATAAAAAATGAATTACTTTCAATTTTTTTTTATGAAAAAATTGAATACTATGAAACATGCAACATAGTGGTTCAAATAGAAGATTTAGAATATTCAAAAAATAAAAGAGTAAAATCAGTGTATGTATTTATACAACTCATATAATTATCCATATAATACTCAAATCCATAAATATTAATTGTGAAATAGTATTGTAAATGACTTTTTATACAAATATAGACTATTTATTGACGTTACCTCCAAAGAAACAATAAGAAAAAAATCAATAATAATCATTAACTATTTACAATACATTACAAAAAGAAATAACTGTAAACTCTTTATAAGTAATTTTTCAGAACTAGCTTTATTGGATACATCAATCAGTTTACACTTAATACCCCATCCTTGTTTAAAATATAAAAAAATAGTTGATAATAAGGAAATTGTTCATTATCAAGAAGATTACAAAACATCTACAAAAGTAGAGTTTTTAAAAAGAAAGAATATGGATGACATTTTAAATGATAATAATGATAATAATGATAATAATGATAATAATAATTATAATAATAAAAAGAAAATTAAAACAACCAAAGATGATATAGCAAAAATAGATACTGATAATAATGGTAAAAATGGTAATAATGGTAATAATAACATTAGTAACAATAATGACAAAAATAACAAAAATAACAGCACTATCAAAATAGTCAAAGAAACCAAACCTTTTAAACTAATAATAAAAAACAACCATTTCACCAAACCAATTACAAAATATATATATATAGGTTACAATGAATTATACCACCAGCTTTTTTTAAATCAAAAAGGGGATACTAGCCTAATTAATTTATTTTCCAGATTATTATTAAACTATTTCAAATATGTAGATAGTAGTTTGATAAATCAAAAAATTGATAATTATTTAATTAGCAATAACAACAATAATAAAATTTTCAAATTATTATCAATTTATATATTTTCACATTTAAATTATATTGTCAGAAAAACTAATTCGGATAAAAATATAAAAAAAATTTATGAATCAGTTTTAATAAAAATTAATAATAGGGAACATATTAAATCAATCCATTCGTTTTATAAAAGAATCAATAACAAAAATAAATATTATTCAATAAATAGTGACATTAGTGATTATTTAAAGTTTATAGATTACAGTGTTGAAATAGAAATAAGAAAAATTAATTTTTATAATTACCAACTCCAATATTCAACAAAACCAATTTTAAATGAAAACAATAAAAATACAAAAACTATAAACAACTGTTTTAAAAATATAAAAAACAATATCAATAATAATAATACTTATAATAATAATAATTATAATAAATACCCATACAATAGTGAGAATCTCGTCAAAGTTTATGACCAAGAGGTGTTCACTTATAACTTTTATTTAAAACCAGATTTATATTGCAACAAAAACATATTCAAAAGTGATTTCGGAAACAACCCAGAAGAATTAAAATATAATAGTTTTTATTTAAAAGACAATATTTTCTATGAGCCGCCTCAAAATGGTAACTATTCAATCTCTCCATCTTTAGAGTTGTTCAAGTTGTGTTTTAGTGTCTTTAGCAGCGGTTTATTTAAAAACTTTGACTGGGGTGAAGAATCGGATGAAACTAGAGTAATAATTTCAGGTGGCTCTATTTCTGCATGTCTTGATACACTCCCAATCTCAATTAAAAAAGAATTCGTCAATTATAAAACAATCGAAAGATATTTATACAAATCAAAAATGCCTGTGTTGTTAGTTAGAAAATTTATGGAGTTTGTTTTTGAAAGCTCCCTTTTAAAAGAATTACTTTTTGATAGATTTTTTGGTAAAAACTCACCCAACCATGAAAGCGATGTTGATGTTTGGTTTATTAGCCAAGATTTAAATAGTGCCAAAAAGAAACTTTTCCAAGCTATTGAAATTATTAAATCAAATTTTAGAGAAGCCAACCCACTTTTTGAAAATTCATTTACATTTGTTCGTTCGCCAAATGCAATAACATTCATCGGAACGTACCCATTTAGAAAAATTCAATTTATAATCAAAATATACAAATCTGTTGATCATTTACTTTCTGCATTCGATATGGATTGTGTCAAAGTGTTTTATGATGGGTCCAATGTGTTTATGCATAAAGAATCTTTAGATTCATACAATAAAAGGTACAATATCGCTTCAGGTTCATTTATTGGACCCAAAAAATCCCGTATAATCAAATATCTACACAGAGGTTTCATTACATTTAGCAATTTAAAAAATATTGATTATTGCACTTCATCTTCTCAAGACTCTTATCCTTTTTATATAAAATCGCCAAAAGAAGGTCTTAATTTTGAAGAAATGGAAAGTTTATTAACCGATAAGTTTGGAAGAGAAGAAGTTTCAAAAGATCAATATTATTTATTGGAAAATCCAAGTTCAAATTCAGAATTTTATAAAGGAATATCATTTAAGGAGAAATTTAAAATTTCCCCAAAAATCGAAATTGAATGTAAAGCTTGTAGAAGATACCTAGAATATTTCTATAGAAACCATTACAAAAAATTTTGTGCATTTAAAGGAAATAGATGTTCAAAGTTTTATAAAATACCACCTATTTCTCCTCATAGTCTTAGGGCAATTTCAGGATTTAAATATTCACTTGTACTTGGTGGAAGAACAGGTTTAGGTTTTCGACTTGCTTTTTATCTTTTAGATCTTGGTTTTACTGTATTAGTTACATCAAGATTTCCAGAAATTACAAAAAAAAAATTCTCTCAAGAACAATTTACTTGTGATTTACCGAAACTACATATTGTTAAGGTCGATTTCAATGATACAGTTCAAACTGAAAACTTTATCAAGTATATTAAAGCAACAATTCCACAATTAGATTTTTTATTCAATACAATCAAATTTTCAAATAAAAATATAAATAATAACTATTCATCAATTTTTAATCAATTAAGAGAACAAGAGGAAATTTTAAAAATAAATAATAATAATAATAATAATAATGACAATGATAATAATAACAACCAACATAAAAAACTTCAAATCCAAATAATTAATATTAGTAATAAAAATATTTATAATTATGATACCAAAATTGATAAACCAACATTCACTACATCAACATCAACATCAACTACCAACCAAATTATAAATAATTCAATGGTGCTAACTAATGAATATATAAACTATATACATCATAAATTACCAAAATTAATAATTAGCCAATTAATTTCAATAATTGAAAATCAAAAGTTAATTAATGAATATTTTTATTATTCACCAAAAAAAATCAGTCATGAATATATTTTTGGTGATTTAAGTAATGAAATATTTTCAGGAACAAGTGTTATTTTTAACATTAATTGGAAAGAAGGAGATGAAACTGATAAAATAATAACTCTACACAATAAAAATATTATTAATAATATTTATAAAATAGTTCATAATTTATTTTATAATTTTAATTATGGCAATACAAAAAACTTAGATAAAGATGATATTCATTATCTAAAGTATCTAGTCAGGGATAAAGATTTAAAAAAATGCTATATCAAAAGAAATGAAAACGAACTTCTATTAAAAAGAAAAGGGTCAACTGAAAATATCTGTTTTGAGATACTTAAACAAGTTTTTAAAAACTATTTTACATGCATAAATATGTAGGATATATAGTATAAATTCATAAGAGCAATTCGGCCAAACTCACAAAAGAAACTATCATCCAAATTATTGTGGAGAAGGAAAGTGATTAAAAAAAAAATGTAAGATGTATGGTAACAATTACCTGCCACACATATATAGATTTCAATAAACCTGAAAAAAACTTTAAATCATTAAAAAAATCTTCCATAAAAGAAGATATATATAGATTAAATCCTAATACACAAATAAAAGTTAAAAAGTTAAAAATAAAAAAATAGTATTTCATTTATTGTTCATTAATCTTAATTTATAGTACATTAAAAACATTATTTGTAAATGATATTTTATTTATTATTTAATAATAATGAAAATAGATAACCAATTCAATATTTTCTGGTTAAATTTTTTTTTTTTATTTTTAGAAATTTAATTTAATTAAAAATAAATTTAAATCAAAAAAAAAAGCTTTTATTTTTAATTTTTAAAAAATTTTTTTTTTTTTATAAATTTTTTTTCACACTCTCTCTTTTTTACAATTTTTATTTATTTAACTTCACACACACTCTCTCTTTTTTATAATACCTTCTCACAAATATTATATTTAATAATGGATATATTAAATATAAAAAAAAAAATAAAAAATGAATTACTTTCAATTTTTTTTTATGAAAAAATTGAATACTATGAAACATGCAACATAGTAGTTCAAATAGAAGATTTAGAATATTCAAAAAATAAAAGAGTAAAATCAGTGTATGTATTTATACAACTATCCATAGGATACTCAAATCTATAATTATTAACTGTGAAATAGTATTGTAAATGACTTTTTATACAAATATAGACTATTTATTGACGTTACCTCCAAAGAAACAATAAGAAAAAAATCAATAATAATCATTAACTATTTACAATACATTACAAATGGAAATAACTGTAAACTCTTTATAGAGAGTTTTTCAGAACTAGCTTTATTGGATACATCAATCAGTTTACACTTAATACCCCACCCTTGTTTAAAATATAAAAAAATAGTTGATAATAAGGAAATTTTTGATCAAGAAGATTACAAAACATCTACAAAAGCAGATTATTTAAAAAGAAAGAATATTGATGACATTTTAAATAATATTAACAATAAAAAGAAAATTAAAACAACCAATGATGATATGGAAAAAATAGATAATAATTGTAATAATAATATTAGTAACAATAATGACAAAAATAACAGCACTATCGAAATAATCAAAGAAACCAAACCTTTTAAATTAATTATAAAAAACAACCAAAGCACCAAACCAATTACAAAATATTTATTTAAAGGTTACAATGAATTATATAATCAGCTTTTATTATATCAAAAAGGAGATACTAGCCTAATTAATTTATTTTCCAAATTATTATTAAACTTTCTCAAATATGTAGATAGTAGTTTAATAAATCAAAAAATTGATAATTATTTAATTAGCAATAACAACAATAATAAAATTTTCAAATTATTATCAATTTATATATTTTCACATTTAAATTATTTTGTTAAAAAAACTAATTCAGATATTAAAGATATAAAAAAAATTTATGAATCAGTTTTAATAAAAATTAATAATAGGGAACATATTAAATCAATCCATTCGTTTTATAAAAGAATCAATAACAAAAATAAATATTATTCAATAAATAGTGACATTAGTGATTATTTAAAGTTTATAGATTACAGTGTTGAAATAGAAATAAGAAAAAATAATTTTTATAATTACCAGCTCCAATATTCAACAAAACCAATTTTAAAAGAAAACAATAAAAATACAAAAACTATAAACAACTGTTTTAAAAATATAAAAAACAATATCAACAATAATAATACTTATAATAATAATAAATACCCATACAATAGTGAGAATCTCGTCAAAGTTTATGACCAAGAGGTGTTCACTTATAACTTTTATTTAAAACCAGATTTATATTGCAACAAAAACATATTCAAAAGTGATTTTGGAAACAACCCAGAAGAATTCAAATATAAATGTATTTATTTAAATGAAAATATATTCTATGAGCCACCTCAAAATGGTAACTATTCAATCTCTCCATCTTTAGAGTTGTTCAAGTTGTGTTTTAGTGTCTTTAGCAGCGGTTTATTTAAAAACTTTGACTGGGGTGAAGAATCGGATGAAACTAGAGTAATAATTTCAGGTGGCTCTATTTCTGCATGTCTTGATACGCTCCCAATCTCAATTAAAAAAGAATTCGTCAATTATAAAACAATCGAAAGATATTTATACAAATCAAAAATGCCTGTGTTGTTAGTTAGAAAATTTATGGAATTGGTTTTTGAAAGCTCCCTTTTAAAAGAATTACTTTTCGAGAGATTCTTTGGTAAAAGTTCACCTAACCATGAAAGCGATATTGATGTTTGGTTTATTAGCCAAGATTTAAATAGTGCCAAAAAGAAACTTTTCCAAGCTATTGAAATTATTAAATCAAATTTTAGAGAAGCCAACCCACTTTTTGAAAATTCATTTACATTTGTTCGTTCGCCAAATGCAATAACATTCATCGGAACGTACCCATTTAGAAAAATTCAATTTATAATCAAAATATACAAATCTGTTGATCATTTATTTTCCACATTCGATATGGATTGTGTCAAAGTGTTTTATGATGGGTCCAATGTGTTTATGAATAAAGAATCTATAGATTCATACAATAAAAGGTACAATATCGCTTATGGTTTATT